TAGAAGCCTGACTATTGGTGGCAGCCAATTTTTTAGCGATCAGAGCCCAAATAAATTAGGAATATTTTATAATTATTTATATAATATAAATATAGTTTAAGCTTTCAGATAATTTGTCATAAAAACTGGAAACAATTGACTTTTAGAATAACTGTTAATAATTAATCATTTCTGTTTCCACGGTTATCTTAGTTATATTATTTTCTATAACTGGGTAAGGCATTGATTTCTAGTTCATGCTTTACAGTGGAGAATAAAATGTGAGGATTAGATGGGAACTTCTAATCCTCATATTATCATGTGTGCAAGAAATTTGTTTTCTGTTTTGAAGGACTTCTGGTTTAAGGGGACTGAAGCTTTTGTATGTCTAGTAAAAGAGTATCTAATTTATCTGAGAATATCTTAATTTCTTCTTCATTTTTCTAAAATATTTTCACTGAATATAGAACCCTTGTTTGACAATATTTTTTCTTTTAGCATTTTGAATGTATCTTCTTCTAGTTTCCATGGTTTCTGATGAGAAATCAGCTGTTAATGTTATTGAGGATCATTTGTACATGTACAACCAAATTCATTATGGAGTATAGTTTCTTGGTTTGGAGGTTTAAGGTCTTGGTTTCATGGGACATCCCGGCTAATTTTCCTATTGTATTGAGTGCTTCTGTTCTACCTCCCATTTCATTGTGTAGCACCTGAGGTATTAAAATCTTGCAGGCAGCCATCCAAGGTACAAAAGTTGATCTGCATTCACCTGGAGCAACAGAGGAAGAAGAAGAGTCAAGAATAGGAAAAGGAAATTGAATGTGTGACTAATTGCCACCATAAACAACTGTCTTCTTTGCCATGAGACCAGGACTGGATGATACCCAGCTACCATTACTGAACATTTTGGTCAAAGATTCTATAGAATAATCCTGATCAAAAGGGGGGACATAGATAACAGAATCTCAAATTCTTATAGAAGCTAGACTTTCTGGATCCTTTGAAGCTAAATATACCCCAAAAACTATTGTCCTGAAATAATCATTGTACCTTAAGCTTTAAATCAAAATTATCCCTTAGGAGTCTTTTCTAAACCAAACAGTAATTTAACTTAACAAGTAAATAATGTTTACCTTGAACCTTGTTCTCTTTTAAGAAATATCTCTATAGAATCAAATTGACAACAGCAACTTGAAAGATTATGTTGGAAACTTAGGGGAGAGTGAGTTTATGTTAATGGGAGAGAAGCAATATGAAAATTTAGGTGAGAATGGATGTACTACTTAAAGAATGTAATCAATGTCACTGAATTGTGCATGTAGAACTGTTGAACTGGTGTATATTCTGCTGTGTATATTCTTCATAACAAGGAAAAAAATGTAAAATATATACATATATATATATATATATACTTAAAGATAACTCTCTTTGTCTTAAGACAGCTTGACTTAAGACAGCTTGACTTAAGTCAAATAAATGCCTTAGGCACTATGCCACTAGAGCTCCCTTCTGTGTAATAGAATGAATAATAAGGTGTCTAGATACAGATCACATTGTATTTACCCCACTTGGAGTTTATTGAGCTTCTTGGGTGTGTAAATGAATGTTTTTCATCAAATATGGGGAATTTCAGCCATTATTTCTTCAAATATTCCTTCTGTTTTATCTTTAATCTGTCCTTCTAGGACTACCATTATGGCTTGATGGTGTCCCACAGATCTCTGAGGGTCTGTTCATTTTCCATCATTCTCTTTCTTTCAACTCATAGCGACCCCTCCTTGGGTTTCCAAGGTGGTATCTCTACAGAAGTAGATTGCCTAATCTTCCTTCTGAGGAGTGGCTGGTGGGTTTGAACTGCTAGACTTCTGGTTAGCAGTCAAATAAATGCCTTAGGCACTATGCCACTAGAGCTCCCTTCTGTGTAATAGAATGAATAATCTCAATTGACCAGTCTTCAAGTATGCTGATTCTTTATTCTGGTTGATGAAATCTTCTGTTGAGATCCTCTAGTGAATTTTTCATTTCAGTCATTGTAGTTTTCAATTACATAATTTCTATTTGGTTCATGTTAGTAAATTCTATCTCCTTATTGATATCTATATTTGGTGAGAAATATTTCTCACAGATCCCTTCAGTTCATTAGGCATGGTTTCCTTTAGTTATTTTATCATTTATAGTAGCTGATTTAAAATATTTGTCCAGTGAATCTAATGTCTGAGCTTCTTCAGTTTCTATTTACTACTTTTTCCCTGTGTATTGACCACTGTTTCTTTTTGCTTTGCTTGTCTCATACTTTGTGTTGAAAAACTGGCATTTAAATAATACAACAATGTGAGAAATCTGGAAATTAGATTCTCCTCCTCCCTAGAGCTTGTTGTTTTTGGTGTTTGTTTCTATTATCAATTTGTTTCATAACTTTTTAAACTAATTTTGTAAAGAGTATATTGTTTTTAACAATATAGTCTTGGATAGCTTTGTTGTTGTTATGCGCCATTGAGTCAGACCCGACTCATAGAGACCCCTCCTTTGGTTTCTGAGGCTGTACCACTATGGAAGTAGATTGCCCAACCTTCCTTCCAAGAAATGGCTGGTGGGTTTGAACTGCCAGGCTTCTGGTTAGCACTCAAATGCCTTAGGCACTATGCTACAAGAGCTCCAGCTAATCATTGGACAGAAATTTCTTTAAGTTCCTGAACCAATAAGTCTCCCAGTCCTTGTATCGGAGCTCTGTGTGCATTTTGGGGCATATTACACTAAGTCAGGAAGTCTATAACTCTGCCTGAAATTTCAATTCCTGCTTTTGCAGAGCTTCAATGTTAACCAGAAGTGAGACTTTAGGACCTTCTTGATCATTCCTGTGCATGCATACAGCCCGACACATGTAAACATCCCTAAGCATACATATGGTCTTTCAGATTCTTAGAACTATACTGGTGTCAAAGCCTCCTGTGCACATCTTGAGCCTCAGATTTTTCTTTTAAGCTTTTTGGATAGCCTATTGTTTGCTCCAACTATTACCCAATGCTTCAGGCAACCGTGAAGTTAAACAAAAATGGTTATGATTGCTTTTGACAAATGCCCCTAGGAAAAACACTGTTCACACAGTCAAAGCTCCTAGTCAGATGAAATAAAGACAAGCCTTATGAGTGGGGTCTTCCAGAGAACCATTAAACCAAAACCAAACCAACTGCCATCATGTTGATTCCAACTCATAGTGACCCCCATTGGATTTCCAAGGCTGTAAATCTTTACAGAAGTATATTAACTCATCTTCCTCCTGTGGAGCAACTGGTGGGTTTCAACTACCAACTTTATGGTTAACAACCAAATTGTCTTTCCCACTATATCACAAGAGCTTCTTAGAGAACCACTAGACAAGTAAAATAATGACATTTATCTGGAACTTCGCCTTTGAAGGAGTTCCAGTTCTTATCTTTCTACTTCAATGGCTGCTACACTACAGGTTTCTATTGTGATAGGGGCAATGGGTTATCAAGGCTTCTGCAAAGATAAGGAGATAAGGGTGAGATTCAGAGAACTTATTTATACTGAGAAGCAGCTGGTTTTCTTAAATAAGTGCTGTCTAGAGCTCTGGTAGCATAGTGCCTAAGGCACTTGACTGCTCACCAGAAGGCTGGCGGTTCAAACCCACCAGCCACTCCTCAGAAGGAAGATGGGACAATCTACTTCCATAGTGATACTGCCTCGGAAACCCAAAGAGGGGTCACTATGAGTCAGGTCTGACTCGAGCTCTAGTAGCATAGTGGCTAAGACACTTGACTGCTAACCAGAAGGCTGGAAGTTCAAACTCACCAGCCACTCCTTAGAAGGAAGATGGGGCAATCTACTTCCATAGTGATACTGCTCAGAAACCCAAGGAGGGGTTGCTACGAGTCAGGTCTGACTCGATGGCCCATAACAACAACAACAAAAAGAGTATTATAAGCATTGATTTTTTTTTTTTTCCTCCAGAGGGAAGCATGTGTCATAAAATGTCCACAAGTTTTTGAATGTTGAGCGAAAGCCATATGGAAATTTATTGTCTTGCTGTGTTAGAAAAACAGACTGTGCATCCATGCGATGTAGTAAATTACATAGTGTGGCTTTTCTAGTCATAAGTCATTGTAAACTCTGTGATAGAATTTGCTGTGAGCAACAGAGTGTCCCCTGATTGTTAAAGTTATCCACCTGGGGTGTTTCTGTTGAGAGTGGCATGAAGCAATCTTCTGGGAAGTTCACTCTATCTCAGGTGTATAGAATTCTGATGCTGGGATTGGTTAGTTCGGCCACTACAGTGAATTGTTGAACCCAGCAGAGAGGTGGTGGGTGCTGTGGGAGGAAAGTTTGGTGCCAGGGTTGGTGAAAGGGCTGGAGGGACATAGCGTGTCTGGCCTCACAGGAATAGGCCTTGGACTACTGATGGTGATTCTGTCTTTCTCTTGTGGGGTTAGAGGAGGCCAGAAAATGTGGCCTTCTTGCCCCTTTGGCAGTCCACTAAAGTTGTGTAGGGTTCTATTTAGAGATGCCATGAAAAGATCTTGATGGTTTGAGCAACTGTCATGTTCAGAAGAAGCAGTGAGCTTCTAAGAATATGTTTTTCATAATTAAATGTCAAGTTTGTAAGAGATATTATATAATGATTAAGGTCCTTCTCTTTGGATCTAAAATATTTGAAGAAATAATGGCTGAACATCCCCAAGTTCCTGAGTTTGCTCCTTACTAGCTTTGGTCAAGTGAGTCAACCTTTATAATACAATTATAACAGCAATAGCTATCCATAGAGTTATTTTAAAATCCAAATAAACTAGCGAAAGTAAAGTATTTGGTGTACTTCATGGCACATATTAAATATTAAAGTAATTTTAAGTTCTATCTATTTTTATCATTAAGAATATAGTTTAGCACTGCTAGTAGTTATGCTTCATGCTCACCTAAATGTGGTTATTTAAATCATATTCAAAATAGAAAATAAATCAACATTTTCTTGCTCATAATCCTTTTCTCCTGTGTTCCTCCAGGCACTGTGGTGGTACAGCAGTTGATGTCAATGATGATTAGCAAACATGACTGCCTCTTCCCAAAAGATGCAGAACTACAAAGCAAGCCCCAAGATGGAGTGAGCAACAACAACAATGAAATTCAGAAGAAAGCAACCATGGGTCAGTTACAGAACAAGGAGAACAATAATACCAAGGATAGCCCTGGCAGACAATGCTCTTGGGACAAGTCAGAATCTCCTCAGAGAAGTGGCATGGACAATGGATCTCCCACAGCTCTATCAGGCAGCAAAACCAACAGCCCACGAAATAGTGTCCATAAACTGGATGTCTCTAGGAGCCCCCCTCTCATGGTCAAAAAGAACCCCGCCTTCAATAAGGGCAGTGGGATAGTCACAAATGGGTCCTTTAGCAGCAGTAATGCAGAAGGTCTTGAGAAAACCCAAGCCACCCCCAGTGGGAGCTTACAGGCCAGAAGGACCTCTTCACTGAAGGGATCTGGTACCAAGATGGGTACCCACAGTGTGCAAAATGGAACAGTACGGATGGGCATTTTGAACACCGACACTCTTGGCAACCCCATGAATGGTCGCAGCATGAGCTGGCTGCCCAATGGCTATGTGACTCTGAGGGATAATAAGCAGAAAGAGCAAGTAGGAGAGTCAGGTCAGCATAACAGACTCTCTACCTATGACAATGTCCATCAACAGTTCTCCATGATGAACCTTGATGACAAACAGAGTGTTGACAGTGCCACTTGGTCCACTTCTTCTTGTGAAATCTCCCTTCCTGAGAACTCCAATTCCTGTCGCTCCTCCACCACTACCTGCCCAGAACAAGACTTTTATGGTGGAAACTTTGAGGACCCTGTCTTAGATGGTCCACCACAAGACGACCTTTCCCACCCTGGAGACTATGAAAACAAAAGTGACCGGAGGAGTGTGGGAGGTCGAAGTAGTCGTGCCACCAGCAGCAGTGACAACAGTGAGACATTTGTTGGTAACAGCACCAGCAACCACAGTGCACTGCACAGTTTAGTTTCAAGCCTGAAACAAGAAATGACCAAACAGAAGATAGAGTATGAGTCCAGAATAAAGAGGTGAGGAAAATCTGGAGTTTACAACTTCCAGAGAGGGTGCCATAGCTTTCTAATGAGGGACAGGATACCACAGAGGATTAATTATGCTGGCTCTAAAGTCAGAGAGACCCAAGTTCTAGTCCCAATTTCACCATTTGTGAGCTGTGGGGCTTTAGGAAAGTTCAGTCTCTGAGCCTTGGTTTCCATATGTAAAAATTCAGCTACTAGTAATACTGTCTCAAAAAGTTTTAAGAATTCAATGAGCCTTGTCTCTGGCATAGAGAAGGTGCTCAGTAATGTTATATTTTGTTATTATTAAATATGTGATTTTTTTTTTAGAAGACTGGAAGAGGAGGAGCTGTAAGGAAATGAACAGAGAATGAGGAGTTTGTTAATATTCACTGATAAGAAAAAGATGGAATTAGGATTAAAATAGAAAGGTTGTGTAGAAGTAAACATACCTTTATTTTTCATTTTTCCAACTGGTTACTGAAGAGGGTGACTCCTACCTGCCATGTTCAGTTGTGCCCCTGAGGATTTAACATTAATAAAGCAGGCAGAAACCCTGCCCTCACAGAACATGCTTAGATTCTACTGGGTGAGACAGATAATAAATAAAATAGAACATATGTTAAATAGAAGAATTAAACAGGAAGAAGCTAGGAAGAGTTGGTGAGTATAAGTTCAATTAGACATATTGACAGAAGGTTAAAAGAAAAAAAAAAAAAAAAAGAAAGCTGTGCAGATGCCCCAAGATGGGGTGTGAGCAAGCAGGAGAACAGTCGGAGATAACCTCAGAGAGGTAACATGGTCATTTTAAGTCTGGTTTTTACTGTGAGATGAGAATCCATAAGGTTTGGGAGAAAGATAGCATGAAGTGTATTCAGGCGGACAAGGGAAACCATAGTCTGAATCAGGAACGTTTCAGTTCTTTAGTATGTTATTAGGAAGAACCAGTCCCTGGAAGAGGATGTCATGCTTGCTAAAGTAGAGGGTCAGCAGAGAAGAGGAATCCTCAATGAGATGGATTGACGTGGTGGCTGCAAAAATGGGCTCTAGTATACCAGCAATTGTGAGCATGGTGCAGAACTGGGCAGTTTTGTTCTGTTGAACATAGGCTCACTATGAGTCAGAACCAACTCAATGGCATCTAACAACAACAATAGTGCTGCTATAACAAAATACCACAAAGTTGGTAACTGTAAGAGCAGGAATTTCTTGTTTTGGAGGCTAGAAATATTAAATCAGGGTATTGACAGCAGTGTATACTCTCCTGGTTCGCTCTAGGGAAAGATCCTTCCGTGTGGCTTCTAGCATCTAGCTTCTGGTAACCTCAGACATTCCTTGGGATTCCCCGGTTTTTAGATATATTTTCACATAGCGCCTGCCTCCTGTGTGTCTTTGCTTCTATGTCTGTTCTCCCTTTTTATAAAATAATACTCAAGGGATTAGGATCAGGTAATCCACCCTATTTCTGTATGACCTCATTAATTTATAACAACAACAAATATATTTTCAAACAGTGCCACATTCACAGGTACAAAGATTAGGACTTCAACATATTTTAGGGGTACACAATTCAATTCATAACAGGGAACAAGAATTATGAATTCTAAGTAATAGCTGTGATAAAACCTAATTTATTACAATTACAGCTTCTCATAAGATTTCCAAGGTAGAAATTTGCTTAGCAACTTTCTCAGGGAGGCAACCTGGGTAAAATAAGGGGCACTGGCTGAGTGCCCTGTATTCATCGTGTTCCTGAGTGTCAGATGCTCCATTTACTCGAGAAGCAAGAATGCAGAGAATGGAGCCTCGACTCACTAAATATAACCCAGTCTAGAAACTTGAGAATCATCACACCCAGCGTCTTCACCACAGTCACAGTATGACTACAACTCAGTGTTTTTATGTTCTCTAAAGAAAGAGCACTGAATGGTCAACTGAGAAGAACTGGCTCAAGGCTCGGTTTGGCACTAAGTAGCCCATTTACTGGTCCAGCCCTGTTTCAAGCTGTGTGATTTGATGGACCTCTCCCTGTGGGGGTTTTCTAGGATCTTCAGTAGTTTGTGCATACTAGTCTTTGTCCTGCTGCAAATTCTTCTTTGACTCTAAATTACAGATGGTTTATTTTTCTATATAAAGTCAAGTTTAATTTGTCTTAATATGTTTCCCATCCATTGATCAATTATCAGGTCAAAACATACACATTTCCAAAACCTATGGTAAAATAAATGTGAGAAATATACTATTTATATGGAACTTATAATGGGGTTCCATTCCAATGTTTCCATCATAAGTCAGATCTGGTGTTAAATTAATGCTTCATTTTATATTTTTATTATTCATTATTATTGCCTTTTATATTTAGTATCTGTATCTTTATATCCAATCTTGATTTGTCTTTGGAGGTTTGCAGCATTACATATAAACTTACAGATCTCTTTTAGTACATACATACATATTACTAATGATAAATTGTACAAAAAGAAAAACAGATGGAGATGTAGTTTGTCTTATCTCAAATATTTAGTAAGTTGGTCTACCTGTATTAAATTTAAAATTTTCTTATTTGTAAAGTATTTGTTATAGCTTTGCTCAGCCGAAATGATTTGGATTTTTCTATATAATGTGGAATGATAGGAGGCTTAACTAAGAAGAAAATGGTATCATCTGAAGGGGTTACACTGCTCTTTGAGTGTAGTTTTGGAACCACTGGCCAATGCAAATGCTTGAAGGATATAAATGTATCAGTATATTGTTTTGCAAAGATTGTTTTCTTTGTATTTAAACTATAGTTTTCTCCAGGGCTCCCCACCCAGTTATAAAATAAATAACTTCAGAAAGGAAAAAGAATAAAATGAATAATTCTTAGTGGCAACCAGCACAAGCTGGTTCTTACATAAAAATATGATCCTGTCTTTAACCTTTTCTATTGTGTAAGATTACAGAACACAAAGTATTATTTTTAAAAAACCTTAGCTGCTTCAAAAGGGAGGGTAGACTCCTTTTTAAGTGTTCTTATTATATAAATGAAAGATCAACACATGGCTTCATTGTTTCAAATAGAATAATAATTGAGATTTTTAAGTTTAAAATTGTTATCAAAATAGTTAGATTTATGAGAGCTACACAAGCATTTGTTGTTGTTATGTGCCGTCGAGTCTGCCCCGACTCATAGCGACCCCTCCTTGGGTTTCCAAGGCAGTATCACTACGGAAGTTAGATTGCCCAACCTTCCTTCCGAGGAGTGGCTGGTGGGTTTGAACCTCTAGCCTTCTGGTTAGCAGTCAAGTGCTTTAGGTACTGCACTACCAGAACTCCCCACACAAGCATTAGTCTTTCAAATTTCAGTGGTGTGATAAAAATCAAAGTTGTCCCAGGGGACTTTAGCTCAGATTAGGAGAGTTGAAAACTCTCCTTTTACCAAGATGCATCTTTCTAATAAGCAAGCACTTTCTAATAAGCAAGTACTCATTTGTATAAAATGATATGAACTTTGGATCTTAATTCTGGAGAAAGCAGTTTCTGTTTTTAAGGAGGTTACCTACAATTTTTTGAAAGAATACAGTTGTCAGTTTACAGAGATCTAAAGTACCTGTTATGATACATTAGTAACTTGGAAGGGCGGTTTGAGTTGAGGATAGCAATCTACTTGGATGGGCTCCATCATTAGAAAATATTGAGTTGATTGCTACTTTAACACGTAGAATCTCTCCCTCTCTTGTCAGTGTAAGGGGCTACTTTTGGTACCACTTTTATATGCTGCAAATCTGTATGTTCCAGAAAATCCAGTCTTATTGGTGAATTAAATCTAACTGCCATTTTTGCTGTCAGTATTTTTCCTTTGATAGAAAGCAAATATCATTGCCCTCTTTTTTAAATTCTTTTTCAGACTTTTCTCCTTTCACTTAGTAAAATCAAATTTACACTTAATGTCTCCAGGCAGCCATCTGTGTTGGGGTACATCTTGCTTTGGCCATTTGTGTGCTTCATGGCATGGATCTCTGGCTTCTCTGTGCTGACTTTAATTTGTTCACTATTAAATGATACCAAAGTACTACTGAAGGAGTTGTGGTGGAGTAGTGGGTAAGGCATTTAGCTGCTAACCAGGAAGTTGGTAGTTCAAGCTCACCAG